TTTATACAAGCATGTCTTTGTTTACTTTAGTAACACTACATAAATAATTTATTATATAGCACTGACCAGTAGTATACATGGATATAATCTTTGGACTGCTATCTATAAAATAGTAGGAAGGGTATGTCAACCAAAAATAGTTTTTATTTTTAAAATACAAAGAAATAAAAAGAATATTATTTTTATTTAATTCAATACAGATGGACTGCACCACCCTTTTGTAGCATCAGAAGAGTTATAGAAACTTATTTTTTTACAGAAATATTTTTCTGCCCTTATATTGCATGTTGATAGAGTTTATATTCCAGTTTATATCCCTAATTGTAGGTACAGGCATACAAATTATTATTAATCCAGACAAATGCAGAATGGAAGGCTGTGATTTAAGATAACATAGGAGAAACAAAACTGTTGCCTTTCTTAGTAGTGTTTGGCTTTGGTTAGCCCTGGATTTGCTTAAAAATTTGATCATATGATAAGTAATTAAATAAAATAACTTGATTCTTCATTGCAGGACTTTTTTTCAGATAAATCTCCCTAAATGTGTGTATTTTTAAGACAGATCCCTTCTAGAAGACAGTAATCAAGTTGGAAACCATGTGAAAAAGCTGCTTCTTGTGGTCTCAAACACCTTGGGGCACATGAAGGGACATATAGAAGGAATAGATTTATATTATCTTTTTAGTGTTCTCTTCCTGTTCTTCTCTTTCATTTATCCTTCCATGACCTGTCCCTCCCCTTTATTAAAATATTGCCAGTAGTCATCAAAGATGATGTATGTCCCTGTGAGTTTCATTTCCACCATGACTTCAGGTTCATGGAATGTGATATGCACCCTCAGATTCCCTTAGAATGTATCTTGGAGTTATTTTGTTTTTTTTAAATGGGTTGACTACTTTGAGTTAATTGAGATACGTTTGTAGCCAGGCATGAGAAAACTGGAGGCACGTCTGAGAAAAAAATTTCTGCAAAGCTTGATGGTTTCCTCTGCAGTCCTCCCCATTTTCAACTAGTACATAGATGTCAGAAGGATGAGAACTCTTGATTAAAACAGAGGGGAAGGAATAAAGGGAAAGGCTGAGTGACCACTGAAGTAAAGTCAAGATCTGTAAGGGGGGAAATGGCAGGAAGATAGAAAAAGGTAGCAGAAAGAAAGAAAGAGAACATGGAGGAAATTAAGAGGCCTCTACCCATGCAACACTGATATCTCTGCTAGAGCTTAAATAAGTGTACAAAGTTTATTGGCTGGCTTTTTTTTTGTCTTTGAAGGCCTTAACACATGCCTAAATAATTAAGCAACATTTTCCATTGGGTGCATAATCCAAAGCAAAAACTTGATTGGAAGGCAGAAGGCCCTTATGTACGTAAACAGGGGGAGTTGCTATTTTTTTTCCTTGGAGCAATCTTTTCTCTGTAAAAGGCTAATCTATCACAGTAAAATGTACAAAAATAATAGCCAAGTGCTTAAGTTGTGTGGCACTCTGAAGAGTATCTATCTCTGAATCATATTTCTGGGACATAAAGTTAGGGCATGAAATTGGTTACCTCCACTCTCCATGCTCCTCCCCATGCATGTGTGGATGTGTGTTCATCACAAGCCTGGGGATTTTTGGATCCAAGCCGGTCTCTAGGAGAGAAAAGCTTAACAGAAAGCAGATGATAAAAATAGCTTCCCTATTTGATGTACTGTGACGTCTAGTAACTGGGTCTACAGTTTTAGAAACTTCATGAGAATTACTTCATAAATCAGAGTCCATGTCAATAATGGTGGTTGGGTCTAAACATTCCATGAAATTGACCCTGTAAGTTCTCAGTTGAAAAAGAGTGGTTTCATTTATTGCTTAAAGTCGACTTCTCTTAGGTTATGGTGTATTGAATAATGATGGAGAAAATTGCTATTCAAGAAAAGTTGTTTCTCTGCAACTTGGAAAATAGATTTCAGTGTTCAGCTTCGGGTTTATTGAATCTACATATATTCATATTTTTGTTTTCCAGCAGCATTTTGAACATCTAACAAATTATACTTGGCTATTCAGGGTTGAGTACCCACGGGTTTTTTGGCTACATTTGCCTGGGGGCAAAATGAACTGTTCAGTGCTGAAATCCAAGTTGGGAAGGGTCTAGGGACTACATTCAAGAAGTGAGCAAGAGCAAGGCAAGGTGTGTGAAACTAGATGTAGGGTTATGTTTTGTACTAATTTGGGTATTTTTCCCTGCAAAGTACAGTGCCATTTTTTTGTACATCTGCTGAGCAATAAGCAACAGTGCAACCATTTCTCTGACTAAAAAGCACAGGCCAATTCTGCACAGCAGTGTCCCGTGCTTTAAATATCATCTCAGGGTCAGAAGTAACATAAGAAGAACCTTCCAGGCAGGAGCACATTGAGAGATTTTCCTCTACAGCAGAGGTCGTCAACCCCCGGTCCACGGCCCATTGCCGGTCCATGGCTTGACCCTGACTGGGCCGCGAAGACAGACCTCCCGCCGGCCCCCTCCCCCGCAAACACTCGGAACGGCAGGGGTGGGGGAGTAGCCAAGAGCCTGGAGTCAGGAAATGATCGGGTGCTCCGGCTGCTCTCTTCCCAGCAGTGACAGTGACCTTCCCCCGCAGCCACTCCCCTCCCCAGAGCTGCTTTGCGGGTGCGCTTGCCAGCGTGAGCGCTCCCTCCCCCCTTTCATGCAAGCGCCTGCATGTGCAAAGCAGCTGTGGGGAGGAAAGCGAGTGCAGGGGTGGGTGGGAGGTCTGCCTTTGTGGCCCGGCGGCAGCGGGGGGGGTAAGGTGTGGGCCAGAGCCAGGAGGCAAGAGCACGGCCGGGTGCTCTGGTTCCTCTCTTCCCAGCAGTGACAGTGGAGGCGGGGTGGGAGTGGGCAAGAGCCAGGAGGCAGCGAAGACAGACCTTCCCCCAATCGCACTCCCCTCCCCAGAGCTGCTTTGCGGGTGCACTTGCCAGCGTGAGCGCTCCCTCCCTCTTTCATGCAAGCGCCCACGCGTGCAAAGCAGCTGTGGGGAGGGAAGTGCGTGCGGGGGCGGGCGGGAGGTCTGCCTTTGCGGCCTGGCGGCGGCGGGGGGGTAGGGTGTGGGCCAGAGCCAGGAGGCAAGAGCATGGCCGGGTGCTCTGGCTGCTCTCTTCCCGGCAGCAACGGAGGAGGGGGATGGGGTAGCCAAGAACCGAGAGGCAAGAGCTTGGCGGGGTGCTCCGGCTGCTCTCTTCCCAGGAGCGGCAGCGGAGGGGGGTGGGCAAGAGGCAGGAAGTCGCAAAGACAGACCTCCCCCTGCCCCCCTCCCCCGCATGTACTCCCCTCCCAGAGCTGCTTTGCGGGCGTGCTTGCCCGCGTGAGCAGCTGTGGGGAGGGAAGTGCTTGCGAGGGCAGGTGGGAAGGGGAATGCATGAGTGCAAGGGGCCGCCCCACCTCCCTCAGAGGCTCCGCCAGTCCGCACTACAGAAAACATTGAGGAACACTGCTCTACAGTATTATCTTTGGCAGCGCCTAATACTTAATAACTGCTACCACCAAATTCCTTGGAGCAAACTTTTCTCTGTACAAGGCTAATCTATCACAGTAAAATGTACAAAAATAATAGCCAAGTGCTTAAAAACAAAAGCTGTATGGTACAGAGAACAGCTTTGTGCTTGAACATCCAGCTGGTGCTATATGTGACAGCAAGTTACATGCTGATGAATGGGCAAGAAACAGGCTTGCTGAGGAATAAATTGTTCCACCACTCTATCCCTAGGTTGAAGACAAAGTAGACTCCTGGGGGAAGAATTCTCATCCCCACCTCTGCCCTAAGTAGAAATAGATGAGTAATGTAGGAAGAAGAGAGCCCTCCATCCTTCCTCTGCCAGACCCAGAGGGCTAGTAAAATGTTTTGTAGACTAATAACTTACATGGATTTATTTACAAGGTCAATAAAGAGGAAGAACTTTTTTTAAAAGTCTTTAAATAGTACAATGCAAGCTTAGGTATTACCTGGATAAAGTAAGAAGGTGGAATTACAAAGCCTGTCTCCAAAAAAGTGCTACTCTGTTAAGCATCCTGGGGCAATCAAAGCTGTTTCTTCTGTGTACAGCTTGCAGATAGACTGCACTCCTTATTGCTGTCATATTAGTAACTGGGGACCATTATGATCTGTATGCATTGATGTGTTTCCCATTCTTCCTTTAAACAAGATAAAAGAAAGCACAAAAAAGAAAGAAAAAATGGAACATAGATTCCTCAAGATCTGAAATGGGAAAGTTGGAAATGTGGGGGTGGGGGGCTGGTGTGGAATATTTTCTATTAAAGTAACATTTTTTATTAGATATTAAAATTATATCTTGTATTTATGACATAATATAAAGTTATAAAATATAATAGTATAGGAGGAAATGCATTGTTTCCCTTTCCCTTAAATCATCCCCTCTTTCACTTTAGACTACACTCTCCTGTGGGTTTGCCTCCTCCAAGTAGTTGGCCATACAGGAAACTGGCCCCCATCCCATGGAATTTCTCACCCCTTGGTAGTCTCTCTCATGCTGTCTCTACCCTTTATTCCTTTTTCTGCTGCTGCTTGCATAGTTTAATGTCTGGAAGTCAGAGTGGGAGAACAAACTCAGGCACCAGTTCTTAAGGGTTAATAGCTGTTCCATAGGTCAGAAGGGCAAGGGGAGCCAGATGACGGTACCTTCTGGGGTATCCAGTGAAATGGCCCTGCATGCTCTTCAGTGCTTCAGCCCAATAGAACTAATGAGAACAAAGCAATTGGGAAGTGAAATTTAACCTGTTATTTCCCTGATTCAGTGCTAACTGCCTTATTAAGATTCTTTTAAGCTGTTATCCAAATGGCTGGACATTCTCCATTGGCCTTAAGGAGTACAATAAGTTGTAATATAAAAATAATGCAGAATATTCTATTTTGCCTGAATATGTTATGAGATCAATATTTAATAACGATACATGTAATGTGTTGCATCACAACTTGCCAGACTAGAGTAATACTTTTCTGTTTCTTTTTCCAGATGTCTCAAAGTATGTCATCAGTATCCCTAAGACATTCTGAAAAAATTGCTATCAGAGAGTAAGTATACCTATTGATAATTGTCAAGTTAAACATTTCTGTTTTACTGCAATCTTTTTATAAAATATTAATAAAGATGATAATAATAATAATGATAATAAAGTAGGTTCTTTTAGAAACCCTTAGTTGAATACAGACTGAAAGCTATTCAGTGGGTTAACTATTTGCTTTAGTTTGTGTGAGTTTATAGATTTGTCAAAACCATTTTGAACATTTATCCCCCCCACACACACACACTTTTTGGCTGAAATTTTGCTGCATAATGTAGCGATACTAAAGTAGGCCTATTGAATCAGTGGGAATTTGGTGATTCAACTCCTCCATTAGTTCCATTGATTCAAATGGGCCTACTTGTGTTTTCCTTTAGCATAGTAAATTGCAACAGGAGTACCGTATTTGCCGGCACACAAGGCGACCGGCCGTATAAGACCCCCCCCCAACAGGAGGAGGAGGAAGAGGGGAAACGGGCGGGTGGCGGGCAAGCGAGCGTGCAGCTGGCTCAACGGTGCGGGGCAGCCTGGCGGCGGCTCAGGCATGGCAGCGAGAGGGCAAGGAAGAGCAAGAGGCTGAGGAGGAGGAGAAGGAAAAGGGAAACGGGCGGGTGGCAGGCGAGTGAGCACGCTGGCTCAGCAGCGAGAGGGCAAGGAAGAAGGCAAGAGGAGGAGGAGAAAAGGGGAAACAGGTGGCGGGCGAGCGGGCACACAGCTGGCTCAGCGGCGCTGGGCAGCAGGCAGCCCGGCGGCGGGATCTGGCCGCTCAGGCATGGCAGGCTGTGCTTCCCTCCCTCCATACAGACCGCCTGCCTGCCCGCCTGCTTGCCTCCCTGGCCAGCGCGGCCCCACGTCATTCAGTGCACTTGGCGTACAAGACGACCCCCCCACTTGGAGGCATGTTTTTTGGGCCCAAAAAGTCATATTGTACGCCGGCAAATACGGTAAGCCTATTTGGCTCAGCGGTGTATATGGAGGAGTCGAATCACCAAAACCCCACTGATCCAGTGGATCTGTTGTAGTGAGACTTTCAACACTAAGCCATGGGATTTTAGCCAGTATGAAACAGAACCTCTCATGTTACTTATTTTAGAAGATCACAAAACTATGTCTGAAATTTACTTCAGGTAGTATCCCAAAGCTCTTTACCACACACAGTTTTGTTGTGTTCTTAAGTTTGGAGATTGTATTTACAGGAGTATGGTTAAGAATTTGGCATATACTTCAGTACATGTCACTGTTGTGTTTTGAGCTTCCTTTCTCTTTGTCTATGACATTTATATATGTCATTTTCTCCAATCAGGATCTCTGTCTTCCTTTTTATCATCACAAGTAGCTTGGGAGGAAGGTTAGACTAAAATATAGTGACTAAGCACTGTCCCCAGTGAGCCTCGTTGCTAAGTGAAGATCTGAACCTAAATCTCCCCAGTCCTACTTTGACATGTCAAGTACTACATGGCAGTTGGCTGTCTTTTTGGGGGTTATAATTTACTGTATTACATAACTCAGTATAACTATATGTTTACAGAGCTCACCATGTTGGCAACATGTTTACAGCCACATAAAATTTTCCAGCAGTTTTTTAACAGTTAATGCAGATCTATATGCCATTTTAAAAGTATGTCAATGATGGGCATGAAAGGTAGAATCCCTTGTCTAGCAATCAGCCCAATAATGATCGTAGGACATTCTTCTAAGTAAATATCTCCTTCTCAATCTTGTGTTTTCAATCTAGTTTTCAGGTTGGAGATTTGGTTCTCATTATTTTGGATGAGCGTCATGACAACTATGTCCTGTTCACTGTTAGCCCCACTTTGTATTTCTTACACTCAGAATCTCTTGCTGCACTGGATCTGAAACCAGGTGAGTGTGGTAAGTGTCATAACACAGCACAGTGTGTTCTTCTGATAAGTTTAAAATACTTAATCATATATCAGAGAAAAAGTTTTGAACATTCCATGCATATATTTATTTATATATATAAATGTATTGAGGTACAGTATGTTTCTTGTTCAGGTGAATTCAAACTCCAAAAAGAAATTATAGTGGTTGAAAGAGATCTGAGTGGTGATTGAGAGAGATCTGAGGGATGTGTGAATCAACCTGGAGCTCCTCCAAAGTGATTGGAACGGAATGCTCCTGAAAATTCATTAGTCATTTCAATTCAGAGGGTGACAAAGACAGAGGCCCATATAGCTGTATTCAGGTGTCCAAGAACGGGTAATCTCTTTTGTCATTTCCTGTCTATGGAAAGCAGCCATCTGAAGATAGGAGTCTCTACTAGAGCCTCTCGAGACAGTAAGGAACTGTGATTTCTTTATGGTCCCCAAGTGTGTGAAGAGCTTGTACTTTATTTCAGACTAGCTCTTTACTTGAAGAGGAGGGGCTAGCCTTCTTTGCCCCCTCCCCATGTGTTTGGATTTATTTTTTCTTGAGATTCTGGGTAGGGCTTGTGTTCCCACAAATGGTGCATTTCTCCCCAGAACTTCCTGTATGTCAAGCACCAGATGGGAGAGAAGAGGAGACAAAGGCATGTAGTTTTGCAACTGGCTTCTAATCATACTGAGTAATTTTCCATTGATGAAGGGGAATTGTGAGGGCTATTTGATACTTTGCGTATCATCCCATGCATAACAAAACATTTCCTTTTAGCTTCAGGTGCATCGCGAAGACCCTGGGTATTAGGGAAAGTAATGGAGAAGGAATACTGCCAGGCAAAAAAGGTAAGAATTAGAGATTTATTCTAGTATGGTTCATTAAAATTGGATAAGCAGTCTTCACGATTTTTAGCATTGTTGAATTTATTCATAATATTCTTTGTTCATTCATCTGCCTTCCGTATGCCACAAACCAACCCATGTTAGCCATCTCCACTAGAACTTGAACTTTTACATTAAAAAATAAACAAATTAATCTTAGTTTGTATGAAGGGGTAACTTTTTTCATGTTGATCTTTGCCCACTATGAGGGAATGCTGGTAAGTATTGAGACCAGAGCACACCAGGCCCTCCTGTCTTCCACTGCCTCCCGGAGTTGGGTCAAATTCATGTTGGTTGCTTCGGTGACACTGTCCAACCATCTCGACCTCTGTTGTCCCCTTCTCCTCTTGCCCTCACACTTTCCCAACATCAGGGTGCAGTTTTTTAAGTCCCTGCAAATAAAATTCTTCTGACTGCTGGCATAACCATTCATTTGCAGCATTAGTTGCCTCCAGAACGCTCCCAAATTGTTGTCCCTTTAGGTGTTTTTTGAGTTTGGGGATCAGATAATAGTCATAAGGAGCCAGGTCAGGAGAATAGGGTGGATGGGGCATCAGTTGAAAGCCTAAGGAGGTCAGGTGTGTCATTGTTTCACCTGCAGTGTGTGACAAGGTGTTGTCATGCAACAGGATGACACCTTTGGAGAGCTTTCCTTGACATTTTTCCTTGATATTTTGCCTCAATTTCATCAATAAAGCACAGCAATATTTTGCATTGATGGTTGAACCCTGTTGGAGGTAGTCCACCAGCAGAACTCCCTTCTTATCCCAAAAAATCGTTGCCATTTGCTTCTGCACCGACCTTTGCACTTGGAACTTCTTTGGCCTGGGGGAACCACGGTGCCTCCATTCCTTAGACTGTTCCTTTGTCTCAGGATCATAACAGTAGATCCATGTCTCATCACCAGTTACCAGTTTGCCCAGGAAATCTGACTCATTTCTTGCAAAATGGTCCAAAACAGCCACCAGTGACTCCACACGTTTCCTCTTTTGTTCGATTCCCAAAAGTTTGGGGATCCATTTTGCTACCAGCTTTCTCATTTCCAAATCATTGTGGATAATGGAACCAACTCTCACGCGATATTCTCAGATATGTAGCAATACTTTTGGCTGATATTGAGCAGTCCTCCATGATCATGTCATGTTTAACTGTTGCATATGAAGGGCCACTGTCACCCATAGTTTGCGACATTTCATCATGGATCTGCTTTGAACCTTTCCCTTGGAGAAACAGGAACTTGGTTATGGTCCTCTGCTCTTCCACATTGAACTTTTCTGGAGGTGCTGCCATGTTCACTTTAGACCTGAACATGAAAGATAAGTTAAAATAATAGGTAGTTGATTTTTGCACCATTGAATACAGACAAATTGGCCAATACATCCTGCAATTTATAGCTTCCTCGCTCAATTTTTTCTGGGAAAGGCTCAATAGATCAGCACCCTCTCGTACTTTATGACTAATATGTTAGTTTTTAATTAATTAAAATTATTTTTAAAGCCTTCAATATAAAAATACTCAAACATCTCCACAATAACACACAGACACAACATTTTGGAACTAAACTGTTGTTGCACAGAATGTAATTATGTTACAATTTGTTGCATTATCTTACAAAAAGAAATGTCATTTTTGTGTTGTTACTGGAGAATTAAGGTTCCAAGCTCTGATTTCTGTTTGTTTTTCACTCTGAAAATGCTCCTGATCATCTAAGTCTAAACCTGTCCCTTTTGCTTCATGAATTTATATAGACTTATGTGAAAGTCATCAGTAGCTCATTATTTCCAGTTTGCAGGACCTGTAAAATTACTCATTCATGCTTCTTGAGTCCCATAGTTGCTACTATCTAGTTATGTAACCTTGGTTCCTCGTTATTCAGTTACACTGGATATTTGTCTGTGTGACCTGAACAGGGTTATGGAAATGAGACCTGATTCTAGATTCCTATTTTGTCTTGCCTCACTTTTTTTCTTCTCTGCTGATCATCCATTCAGATAGACTTGGATATACCTTCTCTTTCCCACCATATGTGTGTTTCATGTATATTTCAGAATACATTATGTAATTAAATGATTTGAATATATTTGATTTACAAAAGTTTAATATTGTTGTACAGACAGAAGTCAGTTTTTAGTAGTATTATTATGGATAACCAGTGAGATAGACAAACTGCTGTTACTTCAGTGTTGCATGCAGGAAGAATGTGTAATGCCAGGTATTTAGTGCTTTCCCCCTTCTCCTTTCAAATGGATTTATTGACAACTTGACAATAAGGTAGTCTTACCTGCTGAGGAGTTCAGGTATAACTATTGAAATAATGCTCCGTCTCTTTCTCTCTAGGCACAAAACAGATTTAAAGTTCCTCTGGGTACAAAATTCTATAGAGTAAAAGCAGTGCCATGGAACAAGAAAGTATAACACATCATGGAAATTCAACTTACTAAAATTTTTTCTGGCTTGGCCTTCAGGTCACATTCGTCACTCCAAGTAGCAGGCCATCTTTTTTATACTGAGGTCACATGACAATGCTCCACAATATAAAAGCTTTTTTTTCCCCTTTTTAATGTGTTACATTTTAGAAACAAGAAATTCATCACAAAAACTGGCTTAACAGTTCCAGTTTTTCTACCTGGACAAAGTGTGGACCAAAAGAGTTCATTTTATGGAAGGCAACCCTTGCATATCATGGCTTATTTACTAGCCATGTTAATTGCCTGTTTAATATACATTACTTTCATGTTAGGTGTTAAATGTTAGCTACCGTTACCAGCATATGTCCTTTTGTGAAATCATTATCAAAGTACTTGCGCTCTTAACAGATTCTTTAATATGTATAAAATTCATATTTAAAGAGTGTTCATTGCATGCAGATAATCATAATTTTCTTCAACATGAGTTTGCCTCAGTAGATGAAAAGGTAACTACTGCAACTTGCTCCATTACATTGCATTAAAAAATCCTTGAATATAAACAGTGGGGGGGGGAGTACCTTGTTGGGCTGATACAAATCAGCCATAGTAAATATACAGTCCTTAAAAGCATCTTTGAAGGATTGATCACAGATTTTGAAGGGAAGTAGCTGTGCCCTTGTGTTTAAATGAAGCACCCCGATTTTCCCAATCCACAGAGAAATCTTGTATTCATTTAGAAAAATCATATTGATGAAATTCAGTTTCATGGCTGAGGTTCAAGAAGAAGAAGAAAAGAATCCATTGTACATTAACTATAAAAAGGCCACTTAAGTAACAAATTATTGTATTGTAAAAGACATGTAGAATTTTAAAACAATAAAGATTTGAACATGTAAATGTCTCAATGGTCTGCATGCTTTTTAAATGCCACTGTGGTATGGCGCCTCTATCCAAGACTGTTCATGTAAATTTTAAATTGAAATGTATAAAGTAATTTGTATGGATATAAAATGCCTGTATTATTCCAAAAGAAACAGCATTCTGAAAATTTCAGTGTATTGTCAAATTAATAATTTAAATGACAGTTCATGTTTTGACGCAAAATATTTAAGTAAAATGGTTCAAATAAATTGCTTGGGACAAGACAAAAAAAGTGGTTTTGTTCTAACAAATATTCTTCTGAATTTTCTTATTCTACAAGAGTACCATTAATGGTAGAACTAAACCTACATTTAATATTGAGGAAATTGTTAAAGGTTCATGTTACTGTTTCCTATTTTAACCACACATAATAGCCCATTTTCCAATCATTCTTATCAAGAGTGGATCAAACCAGGAAGAAATTGTGTGCTCTTCATGTAGTTTGTGAAGATGAAAGCCTTATGCAAGTATTACTTTCAGTATAGGCAGAAGGCAGCCAAAATTTGTTAGGTTTAGTGCTAGCCCCAAACTTCATGGTGGCTGCTTGTAGCTTCTTCAGTGGGGAGTCCTCTGTGCAGGCTCTTTGTAAAGTCTGGTTTAGAATTTGCTCTTCTTCCATTGGTATCATCGTAACATCTGCATGAGAAGGCTTCTATGAGAAGAAACATTTATGGTTGATATGGAATGGCTTCTCAGTTTCTTTACCCAGAATCCTCCCTTCTAGGTCGTTGACTACATATTTGTCACTTGGATGCATGGCAGGGGAATCATTAGAAAAAACCCACTAGCAGATCAATAATTTCCATCCTTCTATTAGCCTAAACCAGGCCAGTCTATACAATAAGTACACATTCTAGATGCCATTGTGCAACTGCTCAAAGGACATATGAGTGCTATATTATATTGGAAACCCACAAACCATTGCACACACAGTATGTCTCCAGCTAGAACACACTGCTAGATCCATTGTCTATAGCCAAGCTCCTCTATAACCAGATGTGCTCAGAATCAGAGGACACAGAATCAAGACTCATGGATTTAGAGCAGACATTGCAGTACCGACACTATAAGGTGAAAATCAAATTGGCAGAAAAATTAGACTGACAGAGCACAATTGGTAGTCACCTAGAGTTTAAGACCACTAATTTGTATTATTTGTGAACTGTAGTTGATCCTGGATCATAATATATTCCTTTTCCAGGCTGTGGCTGGCAGACATATTTGTTTGTAGGCAACTCCTCCTATTTAAACATCTGCTAACACAAGAGGCAACACAATGTGCAGATAGAGACAGGAACAAGACTCTACCACAAACCTATTGTGAGTTGTATCCTCATATCTATATTGGCAACACTATCAAGGGTCTTAACGACATCAGGCTTGGTATCACTATTTACTACTTCATCCTTTAATGTGATTTATGCCATTTCCTACCAACTTTGTCTCTTTCCATATTTTATGTATAACAGACATGGCTGCCTCTGCATAAAAGGACAAACAGCCTTAAGTCTGACTTCAGGAATGACAACACAGAGAAACCAGTTTCTGAAATTTTAAGCCTCCCAGAATTCTCTGTTAGGAATCTCAAAGTGGCCATTGTAGGGAAAAAGAACTATAAAGGAAGATCAAAGAGGAAAACAGTGGAAATGGGCCACATACACAAATTCCAATGTGTATTTAAGGGCTTATATGTAGACCAAGGCTACTCACTGCACTATATTTATTAATAAGCTCGTTTTCTACCATGTCTTATGAATATAAAATAGTTGTCTCCCTTGACATACACTGATCTCTTCCCTAGAAATATGACAGTGGAATCTACCAGACAGATAATCACACTTACTATGACCTGCAATTTTAAGTAATTAGTATCTTAATAATTCCATCCCTGTGTTAATGATGCACTCTTATATTGTTGTACACCCCTGTTTTGTGGGAAAAAAGTGAGTCTTATGGTGCAAAAAATACAGTAATTAGTATCTTAATAATTCCATCCTTGTGTTAATGATGCACTCTTATATTGTTGTTTCTACACCTACTTATGATTCCACCACCAACATCTCAGGAAGAAGTATAAATCAAGGTGGCAAATACAGTATGAGCACTCCATGTGTCTGAGGAAGTGGATTTTCTTAATAATTCCATCCTTGTGTTAATGATGCACTCTTATATTGTTGTTTCTACACCTACTTATGATTCCACCACCAACATCTCAGGAAGAAGTATAAATCAATTCAAGGTGGCAAATATGAGCACTCCATGTGTCTGAAGAAGTGGATTCTGATCCACAAAATGTCATGCTTCCTTGTGTGTTAGTTTTTACGGTACCACAACATTTTATCTTTTTTTCCCTTTGGTTTTCCTTTTTAATTTTGCTAACGTGCTGAAACAGATTAACGTACTGCTTTGGAATCTGTGGGCAAGGATTTTTTGAAGTCCACAGGAAATTCTCTTCATCTTATCACAATGAAAGTTTTTATTAAAAACAACAACTACCCATCAGCATTTCTCATAACATTTGAATCCTTTCCTATTTAAACTTCTCATCTTAAATTACGCCTAGAATGAGATGAGATTCTTTTGCATACTAGTCCTGAAAATAGAATTTCTTGGTTACACCAGCCTTTCAAAATAACTTTAAGAATATTAAGTCATACATTTAGAATATAAACAACTAGTGATGACCTTGGTTTTTCAGGAATAGTTGTCATCTGCTTCATTTTATAATCTTTATGTGTATCTAAAATGGAAATTCTGTCAAACAAAACCCTAACATATTCAGTAATGATTCTGAACAGTCATCTGAAAAATATTTAGTTTACATATTTCTTGGATATTGCAGCCTGACTAGCCTATGAAAATATGAGTGCTATGTACTGCCACCTTGTTTTATCTATCTCCACAACAACAAAACCACATCTATATCCTTAGAATTTAAATAAACAGCACACGCAAAGAGAGAATGATGTACTAAATTATCCGGTAGTTCCTTTTTATTTTTGATGCCTCCTTTTCATGCATTTTTCATTGTCATCAGTTCTTCGTATGAGTCCTTGATATGGAAGCAGTAGTAAGTATTTTAATTTAAATATACAACAAAGCAAAAAGCAAAGTGTGCTGCTTATATACCGCCCCATAGTGCTTCAACCACTCTCTCGGCGATTTACAAGTTAATTATGCAGGCTACACATTGCCCCCACACACAAACTGGGTACTCATTTTACCGACTTCGGAAGGATAGAAGGCTGAGTCAACCTTGAGCCGGCTACCTGGGATTGAACCCCAGGTCGTGAGCACAGTTTTGGCTGCAGTACAGCAGTTTAACCACTGCGCCATGAGGCTCTTAAAACAGTACTAATTAACTTCCCTGAGTGAATCCTTTTCAGTTGAAATCAGAAGCAACACACAGTAGTAATAGGATAAGAACTTTGTGTCTCAATAAAGTGAAATCATATTCAATGTCATAGAAGAATCATAAAATATTTGTGTTGGAAGGGGCTTATAAGGCCATCAAGTCCAACCCCCTTCTCAGTGTAGAATTCCAAAGCAAAGCAGATCTGACAGATGGTTGTCTTACTCTTGAATTCCTCCAGCATTGGATCACTCGTGATCTCCCAAGGTAATTGCTTCCATTGTCATAGTGCTCTAACAGTTAAGAGGCTTTTGCTGATTTTCAGTCTAAATCTGGCTTCCTGTGGCTTGAGCCCATTGTTATGTGTCTTGCACTCTGATGATTGAAAACAGATCTTTCCCTTCTGTATGACTACCTTCCAGGTATTTTAAAAATGCTATCATATGCCCCCCCCCCAGTCATCTTTTCTCAAGGTTTAACACGCTCAGTTCTTTCAGTCCTCATTGGGCATCGTTTCCAGTCCCCCTGTTCATCCTTGTTTATTTATTTATTTATTTAAAGTGCAATGTCCAGAACTGGACCCAGTACTCTAGATGAAACCTAACCAGTGCTGAATAGAGGAGGATGAGTGCTTCATGGGATTTGAAGACCAAACGTCTGTTAATGCAGCCTATAACAGCATTTGTCTTTTTTGCAGCCACATTGTGTTCTTGGCTCATATTCAGCTTGTGGTCTACAACAATTTGAAGATTCTTCTCACTTTTTGTATTATTGAACCAAGTATTCCCCCATCTTGTAACTGTGTGTTTGATTTTTTCCTCCCAGGATGTAGAGCTTTTCGCTTATCCCTGTTCGATATCATTCAGTTATTTTCAGTCCTGGCCTATCAAGAACTTTTTGAAATTTGTTCCTGCCTACTAAGGTATTAGTTATTCCACCCAATGTGGCATCCACCAACTTGGGGAGTATTCTCTGCAACACCTCATCCAACTTGTTAATATTTATTGTTTGGAGTAGAAAATGTGGTGAAGCACTTGGGTGAGAATTGCTTTTTCACGGTAGAGCTATATGGTAGTCCAATTTTTATATTAGTTACAAGACTTGAGAGGAGAAACAAATGTAGTAGGGTGAAAATGAAAAGCACTGAGTTGCGACTTTTGCGTCCGTTATAGCTTCAATAGGGAGGTTTTGAAACACATACCATCTGTCTTGGTGTGGTAAACCTTTGGTATGAAATGGCTGGCCGCACAAAAGTTCTTTTGAAAATGAAGCCTCTGTTGTGTGCAGTACATGGTGAAAGACTCAAGCTCTGGGAGCAACTTTGCTTGAAACACACACGGACAAAAATGGAACATCTGATCAGCTTATTTCACAAATGAAAATCATGTACAGATTGCTGATGGATTGAATTTTCACATGAGCTGAGTGTCTTCAACAAAAGAGTGCTGCAGTATGAAGTGTTTGATGGAAGTTATCCATTTATATTTCATTGGATTGTTACAGCCAGTGTTATGATCCAAAGATACTATAAAGTTATATTGGAGTGGAAGTTCAGATGGGTTCTTTGTTCACAATTTCTGTAATAACTGGGGAAGTTTAGCTGATAAAATCAGTTTCTGTTTGCATGTAAAG